ATTGCCTCTGCTCATTTTGATTTTCATGGATTGGAGCACTACACAGTGCCTTTGGGAGGGCTCACTTAAAAAAAAAAAATCCTCGGTGCCTTCTATGCATGGCCTGAATCGCCCCAATTGCATCATCCAGCACAACACATAACCTATTACATTTGAGAGATCTCTTTTAGGATCTACTCCTGATCAGCCCTTCTCTTTGTTTTGATCGGGGCTCAGCCTGTTACACTATCTCAGATAATATCTAGCATATGCCCATAGACTCAAAGCTCTCTCAAAATGCAGCACATTGATAACATTGTCTTCTAGAAGGCAGGAGACTCAGCATCTTCCATTGTTGGATGGCATTTCAACCCATGTTTCCCAGCTGTGAGGTAGTTTGCCTGCCCACAGCAAAGCTTTACAGGGAAATGTTAAGGCTTGCCAAGCAGGGACTTAACTCTTAGGACACTTAGGAGAGGGAAGAGGGGTACAGGGCAATTTGTACATTTTAGACAGTGACTTTTAGTGCAAAATGATACAGTTTAAGATGCTTAAAGTATATTTTGTATCCCAAATTACTTGTTTCTTGATGAGTTGAAATCCTGGTGTGGATTTGACAGCTGCCTAGAAATAGCACCAAAACTGTCAGGTCCCATTTCTCCCCTCCTTTTGGCTTCAGCCACGCATGTCTGAACGGCTATTCCCGCAGCTGCCAGCCGGGTCATTCCCAGTTCTTACAGAGTCCCCAGAAGAAGCTGCAGCGGTGGGAGACTTACTTGTCTTTCTGTCACCAGGTGCCGCTCAGTGGAAGCTGCAAGTACGTGCAGCCTCCTCCCAGGTTTCTGCCTGAAGTGAGGACTGGTGTAGGTGGGCAATCAGAAGTTGTGCTCGCTGTCCCACATGGTGGATTTCAGTCTGTGATAGGGACTGGGTGTCTCTGAAGGTTGAGAATAATTCACACTTTCAGAACCTGAGAGTGAGAAAAGGATGAGAAGGGGCTTTGATAGGCAGTGAGAGCTGCACACTGTTCACAGGGGGTTTGCAAAGCTTAGGGAAGCCCTACATGAGCAGATGTGTTCCAGGCATTGCTGCCACTTGTCCAGCCTCTCACGTACTCCACGGGGTTTCCCATCCCAAACACTTTTATGCTTCAGACAAGTAAGCTTATATCTCACATAGGTTTAGCCCTTCTGTGGACTGTATGTTTCTTAGCCCCTTCTCTAGTCAGCTACATATCAAAAGGCTCAGCTTCTTTCTTTTCCAATGTCAAGTTCAGGGTCACTACAGGTGTCTTAAATTTCCTAAAGGAAAGGTAGCAGGACAATTTGTATGGTGGTCAGGACCAGCAATTTCTGACCCGTAACAGTTTATTATTTATTTACAATTCCTCTCAGAGTTAGCACGTGATCTATCACAGAGAAGTTTACCCCCTTCAAAAAAGAAAACCTCACTTGTTTGGTAAAGAAGAAAAAAACCCGTGTGAAATCTTAAAGGCTAAAAACATCTGAAAAAGGGTTCTGTTGATGGTAATAAAGGAAGGTAACAGGGTTCTGTGAGTTTATCATTGCAGTGTGTGGTTTTCAGTGGAGAACTGATCTGCAGTAGGTAGATTTTTCTGTAACTTTCTATGCAGTTGTAAAACATCCACTTCATCTTGCTTGTGCTGTTTTATTTAAACTCAATTGGCTTAATCCTACGGCAGCCAGGTTTATTTGATGTTTCTCCATTAACTAAGCACTGCTGGATGCTCCAGCACAATATGCTTTATGGCAAGGAGTGAGAAACACAGAAGCAGACTGTAGTGTTGGTGGCATTCCCTGCCATTGCCCTTTTGCTCCTATCGAACATTGTGTTCTGCTGTGGAATAGTAATGAGGCTACACTGACAAGAGGTGACTTGACAAGCATGACTGAGGAAAGGGAAACCACTTTGACTTTATCATTATCCTTAAGCTCCACAAACTGCCCTTTGTTGCTTGATGGCCTGATGCCCACACATCTCCGTTCTTTTCCTGGCTCTTTCTTGCCTCACTAATTCATTCTGGGTGAAGAAGCTCCCATAAACAAAAGGAGAACATCTCAGCTTTGCTTCCGCATTGGGAAGTGCTATTTCAGTTGCTAGGGAATCTGCTTAGAAAATAGAGCCAACTCTTAAAAACAGTATTTCTATTTCCAGGCATCTTACCTTATGCTGTTCTGTTGTTTCACCTAATTTTCTGAAGAATCATACCCTTGTTTAGTTCTTTTGTTAATATCTGTGAGAAAGTCTTTATTAAAACTTAAAACTGCTTCAGAACTAAACTCACATGCATGCATACATCACAAGGAGCCTAAACTGAGTCGCTTTCTACACTGGCAATATGCTGCCTAAGTTCCCGGATAGGAAGAAAGAGAAATGCTACAAAATGTAGAGGCGCAATTGTACTGAAATTTGTGACCTTGGCTCAGGGTCAAAGTACTGTAGTGTAGGCCAAAGTGTTCAAGTAGAACACATTGAATCCAGTCTTAAAAATTCAACAGTATTCTTGTGAAAATGGTCAGATATGTCTGGTGAGAAAATGAAATGGATCAGCCAATTTTCTATGAATGAGTCTTAAGTAGAGGTTATAATCTGAGGTTATAATCTGAGGTTATAATCTGAGGTTAGGTAGAAAGCAGCATTGGCAAGAACTGAAGTAAAAGTCCTTAGAGTGTATTAGGTAAAGAACAATCTATGCTTGCAAGTAATTTTAGCAGCTAAATGGCTCTGTTCATGCTCTGATTCCTAATGATAATGTCTCCAATTTCACACATTGATTTTTAAATAATGCATGTCAAAATAAAGTGAGTTCTGTAGTCCAATTAGCAAAGTCACAGGTTTGCTGCCTTCTCCACACCTCATTGGAAACTCCATGCTGTTGGAGCAAGCAATTCCCTTACGCTCAAGGTAACTATTGGAGTGGGGCTTAGATCATTCTGCCCAGGCCTTACACATAAAGAACCAGCTGCTCATCAGCCATGACAACTGTAGTTGGCACAGTCCATCCCTAGAAAATGTTTCAGTCGTTCTCCCCGAAAATTTCTTGAAAACTATAAGCACTACATTTCCCTTATCAATAGAATCAAAGAATATGCAGAGTTGGAAGGGACCCATCAGGATCCTTGAGTCCAATTCCAGGCCCTGCACAGGACACCCCAAGAGTCACACCATCAGCCTGAGAGCATTGTCCAAATGCTCCTTGAACTCAGGTAGCCTTGGTGCTGTGACCTCTTCCCCAAGGAGCCTGTTCCAGTGCCCAACCACCCTCTGGGTGAAAAACCTTTTCCTGATATTTAAACTAAACCTCCCCCGACTCATCTTCATGCTGTTTCCTCTAGTCCTGTCACTGGTCACAAGAGTAAAGAGATTGGTACCTGCTCCTCCACTTCCTCTTGTGAGGATGCTGAAAACCACAATGAGGTCTCCCTTCAGTTTCCTCTCCTCCAGGCTGAACAAGCCAAGGGACCTCAGCTGCTTTTTTTAAGACTTTCCCTCCTAACCCTTCACCATCCTCATGGCCCTCCTTTGGATGCTGTCTAATAGCTTAATGCCTTTTTCATATTGTGGTGTCCAAAACTGCACACAATATTCAAGGTGAGGCCACACCGGTGCGGAGCAGAGCGGGACAATCCCCTCCATCGACCGGCTGGTGATGCTTTGCCTGAGGCCCCCCAGGACAGGGTTGACCCTGTTGGCTGCCAGGGCACTGCTGACTCATATTCAACTTCCCACTGACCAGGACCCCTAGGTCTCCCTCCACAGTGCTGCTCTCCAGCCTCTCATTCCCCAGCCTATACACACAATCAGGGTTGTCCTGTCCCAGGCACTGAATCCAGCACTTGCCCTTTTTAAACGCCATATGATTACTTCTCACCAAATAATCTCCTTAATGGACTACAGACAATCACCCTCTTAGTTTTTGCAGCAATTAGTATTAAATTAAGTGTGGAGTTTCCTCTCTGTCTTTCTTGCTCCATGGGAGACAACAAAGGAAGGGAAGGAGAATTCAGGTATTATGGCTAATGAACCTGCCACAAGTAGGGCTCTAGTAGACTGGTGTAGGGCTGCACAGGCAGTATACTTATTTACTAAAGACAGGCTCTCGAGGCATGCCTGCTGATCAGTTCCACGTGCCTCTTCTGTGTCTGGTACAGGATACGGTAAAATGTAAAGGGAAACAATCTTTATGTAGTCTAAGCCAGATACAGCTATTAAAATCTGGCACCTGTATGTATGTGTGGTCATGTGCTACAGAAGAAATGGTCTGCTGCATGCAGAAAGTTGTTTCATTGTACTGAATTTGATATGACCTTGGAAAACAATATCTGTGCTAGCAGAGTGTAACCCAAATCAGTGTCAGGAGCATCTATGATGGAACAGGCCTAGTGAGAACCTAGTATTTTTTGTTTGTTGCTTTTCTCCCATATTTAGGAAATACCGTATGAGGAGAAATTAAAGGGTGGTGTGCTAGGATAGGAAAAGGTCCCCCAAACACTGTAATTTGACTGATCCAGTGTATCAGCCCAAGGAGGAAAAGGGAGCAGCAAGAACAACTTCTCAGGCATCTCCATCTCCCTAGTCAGACTCAGCTTCTTCTCAGCTCAAGGTCTGTCCAGGCACAGTTTAAATATTTTTCCAAACTTTTTGAGCTACTTGGAAAATGAATGCCATTGTCTTGGTTGAGAAGCACCAGCAGGCGTGTCCTTTCACCCATGGACTGCTGGGAGAACACAGTCGCCAAAGGCATTGAGAGCCATGAACTGTTTTCCCTGGTCTCTGCTGTGATGCTGACAAGGGCTATGGCTGGCAGGGCTCTCTGTGCATGTCAAGCAGTTGTGTAGACATTTACAGTTACACTGCTTCTGACTGCAGAAGATGCTTCTTTGTCTTCTGAGCAACAGGAAATTCACTGTGCTATAGTGGTGGTGAGGATGGGGATGACATGGCCTCTATGCTTGTGTTTTGATAGTATTGACCATGTTTCTTTTTGGTTTGCTCTACAGATATTATGTGGGAGAGAGATACCCCGCTGGGTGAACCGCCTGGCCTACTTCAGCTCATGCATCCCCTTCCTCCAGAGCTGCCTCCCCAAGGAATGGCTGACCCCAGCAGCCCTGCAGAGCCACATCAGTCTTGGCCTCCACAAGGAGGAGCAAGGGGACACAACGGATGAGGAGTCACCCTCCACCTCTGCAGCCCCCTCAGCCTCAGGCACATCACGAAGCTGTAGACATACTCGTGTCTAAACTGTGCCCAACTTGCCCCCAAATAACATCCATGCTCTCATCCTATTTATTTCTCACACCCTTTTGCACACATTGTTTTCTCTCTTCTTCAGTGGACAACACAGGGGAGGGAAGACTTTCTACTTCAGCCCCTTTTCCAAGGGCTGCCACTACAGTTGCTTGGCAAAATGACTGTGAACCCCAACACAGAACTGAGGAGTGTGGCGACTAAACTGGATGCTCCTCGCAGGGCCCCCATGACCCTCAATCCACAGAGAACTGCTAAATCTCTCAGGCATGAGAGCATGCGTACGGGCAGAGTGCACATACTGTGATGTTCCTTCTCTGGAACTGTTTTATCTTTTTATCTCTTCTCCCCACCCATGTAAGCCCAGCAGGCTCTTCTCCATTTTGGCTGGGTTTCCCCTTTCCCTATGACAAATCTCCTGCCCATACCCAGTGAAGGAACCAGAGCCAGAACTCAACCTTCTCATCTCTTAGACCAGCAACAAACTCCAGTTAGCCCCACCCCTTTTGTGATTATCAGGTTTCTAACTCATGTGAAGGAGAAATGAAAGGTGCTCCTATTCTACAACCACCAATTTTCAGTACTCAAATTTAAGAGCTCAAATGACTGTCCTGTTCTTGAAAATAATAACAAAGAACCTAGAAAATGAATGTGTTACTGTGGCTTTTCTTTGGGGTCAAAAAGAGGATGGGGCTGTAGTGGTTAAAGGCAGCTGCTAAGTAGATGCAGAAATGACTGTTGACCATATTCATGCTTTTTGGCACAGACCCCTCTCAGTTCTCCTAATTTTAGGCAATATTCCTGGTTTCCTTTTTTCCCCCATATTCCCTGGGGAATCTCTCTCCTAGCTGACATTTGCTGGTTATATTTTGGGGAATGGCCCTTCTGAGCCAAACGAAAAGGAGAGTAAATCTGTTGGGAGGGTCAGTATTTCCTTCAGATTTTCCTCCTGCACTCACAGACCTAAAATATAGCCGTCCTTCCCTGGCCTATTTTTGAGCCAACCCAAAAAAGTAAAAAATAAGTGGTGAACCCAAAGAATGTCAACCTGTTCCCTTCTCCTCCCTTTTTGGAGGTGGAGGGGAAACTTAGGGCCACATCTGGAAAGTGCAGATAACCCTTCCAATGCATGGGCCACCATGGTGCCTTCCGTTGTGTGCACTGTTTCAGTGGCATGAAAAATGGGCACAGCTGGCTCACTGACCTCTCCAGGCTGGCTCCTGACAAGAATCCTGACAAGAATTTGGATGTATTTATAGATGTATTTATGCTAACTCTGACAGCTAATGAGAAAGCAATGGAGGAGGAGAGGACAAGTACACTAACTCTTCTACTCAATTACCTCACTAGGAATTCTAGACAGGAGGTGCAGGAAAAAATCAAAGGGGAAATCCAGGGCCGCTCTCTCCCTTGCAACTCCTCTTGGCTACACAAAGGAGGACAAAAGATGAACAGGCACCATGATGAGAGGGGGTTGCTGTTTTAGAAATGCTGTTCTCAACAGTTGCTGCCAAGTCAGAACTTCCACCCTCCACCCAGAAAGAATGACAAGCTCCTTTTTTTGGTCACAATTGCATGCTAAATCCAACCAGCTGTTTCTTTAGCTCAGGTATATAGAAGTATGTGCTTTCAGGGCTGAAGTTCTTGGCTATGATGTACATCATGTCTGCACAGACAGTGCTTAATGGTTTGTTACATGTGCATGGCCTTAGTGAATCAGGAGGCTCTGGAGAGATCTGTTGGGTGGAAGTGTAACTCACAGGATGGCCTCACGCCACTGCCTCCTGAAGTGATGCATGGTGGGGCAACAAAACCGTTATAACATGACTGTCTTTTTCATCCTCTGTACAAATTGCTGCAAGTTCTGTACTGAACTAAAGTCATGTTCCTTATTAACCTTGGCTGCTCACAGCCAATGCTGCATTATGAGCAATTCTGCAGCTCCTAGTAACGACTCCAACACTAATCTTGATTACTCTGGTTTGTCCAGGAATGTTTAATAAGATTTCCATCCTGATCTCCATGCCACTGCCCAGAAACCGTGTTACACAATGTACTATTTTGCTCTCTATTCCCCTGCAGTCGTGGTCATTGCAGCCTAAACTGGCAGTGCAAGCTTCATTTGTCTGAAATTTCCAGGGTTTCTGCCAATAGCCAGCAGCACATTATGTGCAGTGAATTTTAAAGGTCCTCCTCTAGGGAAAAGTGAGAAGAGGCTTTTCCAGAGCTTTTGTCTAGGCCAGGGAAACTGCAGTAGGAAAAACGTAGTTCCTGTTGTTGTGATAAAAGCCAGCCAGCCAGCCATCACCCTTGTGTTTCTGCTCTGCACCTGAGCTCCAGATAAAGCATCATGCACTCATCTAGGAGACAACTAGGGCTCCAGAGGCACATTTCACACAGAAAACCCTCTCGCAGCATTTCACAAAGGAAAAAATGCTTAATTGACTGTATGGTAACCTGGACAAGAAAACTGCATTCAGCCTCCTTGGGAACATGAATATGTGCTTGAAGTATTGGGAACAACACTCGAGGAGAGCTGTGAACATCATAAAAACCCCCAGATGTTTGTTTACCTACTTTTATGTTTGTCTGTCTGTTTATGACAGTAGGGGTCACATCAAGGAGGTATTAAACCTGTGCTGTAAATCAAAACTAGAATCTATTCCAATCTTCAAAAGTATTTCTCCCCACCCCTCTCTGTTCAAGGTGATCAACCAACCAACAATGACAAGAACAAAGAGACACTGTGGAAATAAAATATATATTGATGATAGTTTTACCTCTGTAATTTAACAGCATTTGAGATTATTAAACATGAAGACATTTTAAAATCCTAATTTACTGTTTCCATTATTACAAAATTATTGCTGTTACTATATAATTATATCATATTTGTACTTAGTCACACATTTGCTTTCTCTTGCTGCTTTCTCTGCATAACAACATGGGGCAATTTTAGATACCACCAGTTATCAATGAAAACAAAAAAACTAGCTTACAAATCTCAACAAGAGCACCCTATGGCACTAAAACAAACACTTAACCCTTCTCCTTACTGCCAGGATTTTTGGTGCCCTTTTAAAAGTTGGGATGAGAGGGCACCAATTCTGCACATGGGCATCAGCAGCTGTGGGTTATGTCTCTAGCAGTGACCTAATAGTATTCAGGTGGGACTGAAGGTGGGGTTACTCTAACACTGGAATATTAGAGGTACAAAACAAACTGTTTCTAGGGAAAGAGGAGGAGGAAAGTAAGTAATAACCTCTTTTCTCAGTATGTCTTTATCTATAGTAGCAACTCTCTTAATTTCAGCAGATTATTTTTACTGATTTCTTTTTAGTCAGTTGCCTTCCTCTTCCTAAGTCTGTGATTTGAGGTCTATATCTCTCAAACTGTTACAAAGTTTTAGAGGGAACAATCGTGCTTTCAGAGGCCTTGGGTGAGCCAGTTACCCAGCACTGAACCTGTACTCTGTGATGAGTTCATGCCAGGCTCAGCACAATATGGGGATGGACACAGACCTGTTCTCTTGCTCTCATTGCTCCCAGCAGATAGTTTGCATATCTGGAATTCAAACCCATGTTGCCTTTGTGTTACTGAGGTACTCAAGAAATAGTCATTTCCTGCTATGTTATTTCTTTTATTCTTCAGTTCTGTTTATTTGTCTCTAGGCTGGTAAGGCTCTCAGAACAAGTTAGTGGACACAGGATTGCAATAATATTAGCTTATCATTATATGTGTTTGATTTTCTTCTCATTTTAGTTCCTACATATGTGCTGGTTTGTTGTTATGTTCAGAAAAGCATCTCCACCAATTCCTTGATGTGATTAATGGATAAGACCAAAGGAAGTGATCATCAGTGTTTCATTTTCAAATGTTCTTAAAATACTCTTTGAGTTGAGGCAGCAGGTGCCCTGTTCCACTGTATCCCTGCTCTGCTTGCCATCAGGCAATTAATTGGATTGTGAAAAGCCTGTGTAGTGTGACTCAGGAAGTACGCAAAAGAGGAGCTGTCATTCTTTGTCTCCATTCTGCCATTGCCACAGGCTACCAGAACATGGCAGAACCTCAGGCTATAGTAATATAGGAAAACATTGCAGCCCCTGCCTGGAGAATATGCGCTCTTGTCTCTAACAGGTCAGTGCTCTACCATTGTGAATGGGGCTGTAGCTGAGCGGTGTTTGAGTGGATGACATGGCACATTTAATTCCTATCAGGTATGAATAACTATTGATTCTAAATCTCAGAGTAAGGCTGTCTGTTGGTGCTGTTGTAGCCGACTTTACTTTGAAAACGCTATAAAGGGGTTTTTTAGTTCATTTTGACTGGGATAAGGGATAACAATGCAGAAGAACAGACAGTGTGATCACGGTAATCTTCCTTCCACAGGAAACAAGGCTACAGAATGAATGATACAGCTAGTGGCTAGGCCCTCAGAACTGCTTTAATCAGAGAGGTGTGCATTCGGAGGGGGTGCGTGGGTGTGAGTGAAGGAAGAGGGGTGGGCCGTGGGTGATGCCCACAGCGCTGTGGCGGCTCTGCCACCGCAGCTCGCCCCGTCAAGCCCCCCGGGGCACGGAGCTCACCCGGCTCACAGGCCGCAGCGGAACCAGCGTTGCCCAGGCGGAGCGGCCGCTGTGGCGGCGGAGCCGCGCCCCGCCGGAAGCGGCAGGGCCGGGCCGGAGGCGGGAGGGCGGTGCCAGGGCCCGCGGGGCGGGAGAAGCTGGGGGGGTATGGAGAGGCTGCGGAGGCTGTGGAGGGGCCGCACCATGACCTTCGGGGTGCCCCTGCTGGTGAGCGCCGAGGGGGGCGGGGAGGTAGCGTGGGCCGGCACAGCGCGGGGAGAGCGCTGCTGATCGTGGGCGGACCGCGGCAGGTGGAGTTCTGCGGGCGAGGAGGAGGGGGACGCGTGTGGCCGGTGGGCGCTGCTTTTGTCCCCCACCTTGTGCCCGGAGAGGGGATGAGCCGTGTGCCCGCTCTACCCGGAGGTCTTCAGAGTTCAGGGACAGAGTTTTAAAGTATACCCCTAAAGATATTCCTAGCTGGAAGATGAGGAGAGTGCATCTTGGTGTTGGTTTGTTTTTGTTATGGTTTTTTAGGGTTTTTTTTTGTGGTTTCTTTTTTTTATTTACAACAGCACTTATAGTTTTTTTCTTACTTGCTTTAGCTTTTCAATGGATTTTGAACTGCAGAGGCACCGTTGGTCTGATAATTTGTACATCTAAATAAATGGAAAGAATTGGAGTGAAATGAGTTGATGGGTTATAGTTACAGTTGTGCTCAGAGTGATGAGGCATAACTTTTTAGAGCAGTCGAAGTTAGAAAAAAATACTGTCAAAGGAATAAAACAAAATTATAAGACTCTCTTATACACATTACCTCTGTAATTAGTGCACATTAGGTTGCACTTTCCTGTCCTAAGTACCTGTGTTCGTTAAAGGAAAAATGAAGCCATTCACATCTGCTTATAGATAAAAACTCAGGAAGGAAGACAGAAGCATCACCAAGGCCAGCATGGTTTCTGTTTATGCAAGTCATGTCTCATTTTCTAAATACACAATTGGTTTGCAAAAATTAAGCACATTTCAAGGTGGATAAAGAATAAGATAATTCCAAAATAAGGATAATTCCAAAACTCTTATAATG